AAAAATACATCTGTGAAAGTAACATGAAATTACATCCATGAGCGTACACAGAAGAGACGGAAAGCAAAGCAGGTCATGCTCACGCAGCTTCTTAGCAGGTCAGTGGTGTCAGAAGGACTGGTGTCAGTGTGTGTGGGTACTCACGTTGCCACCTCTCCTCAGATGGATCACCCCACAGGCCAGACATACAGCCTCCTTAGGCATGTTCATTTTCATTTTTAATCAGAGAGTCAGATGTGATAAAAATGGGTCCTTGCTTAAATCAATTTCTTTGATTTTATGAGCACTCACATCAAAATGGCTTTGTGAAATCTTTCTTCATTGATGATAACACTATTGGTGACAGTATTATTAGTAACTGAGTGGGAGTCTTTTTTATTAACTTCAACTTTTCATTATTGCTTTATGTTCAAAAGTTGTTGATATAGTTTCACAAGTGCTAACTACCATAATACTGTAGCAACAACACCAGGAAATTTAACAAAATCAGCAACTATAAAAAACACCAGCAGCAGTGACAACAACAGTGAACCACATAATTAGAAAGGCGTCGAGGGACCACATGAGTGGAAGCATCATGATAACCGGGTATCAGTGCCAGCTCTGAGCAGAGCACATTGGAAAGTTCAAGAAGCAAATGATCATAGAGTTTTCCCCTTGGAGGCATATTGATATATGTAAACAGGGCACACACAAAAATGTTTTTATTCTTATAACTGCAGGGATATTTTTATTAAAATAATTAATGTCTACTAAAACATTGCACACATGTTGGACAGTTATTTTGGTATTACCCTCTCTCAGACTGTCAACCAGTATGGTTCGTGCCTGGTGAGTGACACCACTGTGATGTGTTCACTATAATATGTAGGTCAGATCTTAAGACTCTTGTTGTAAAATAAGATCAACTATGAAAAGGATCAGAAGGAACAGACTTTACTGAAGTTGCTACTGAGAGTGCACAATGGTGAAAATGAGAGACGCAAAGAGCTACCTGTTGCCACTGGAGCATCAGTTGCAAAATACATCATTTCATATTGCCATCTTACAAAGCAGGGTCCTTGGCCCAAAGCAATAAAGCTCTGAACTTGGACTAGACTTTGTACTGGAGCTTCCTGGATTCGAATAGAAAACCCTAGCCTCTACTCATGGCCTCCACTACATCCTAGCAGTGTGACTACAGAAACATATTGAAATTCTCAAACTCACTATGTAAAAATTGGTGGAGTGAAATTGGCAGAGTGATATCTGTCGTAGCTGTCGGCCAGAGTTCTTGTGTAAAGTAAGGTGTACATGAAATAGCATAGAGAAGAACTTTGAAATCTGTAAACTGTGTAGCATACAGGAGGGCCAGGAATATCACAGGGTGTCATACAAATCTTACTCAGCCTCGGACTATTAACTGCAAGGTCAGTGTTTCAAAAGCCATCAGGCCCTCCACAGAGAAAGAAGGGCTATCTGTTCTTGTCACTATGAATCAGAATCGACTTGATGGCAGGGATTTAGGGGATGGATACGAAACCGTCTACCAGTTTTGAGAATGTAAAAGTGATCAGACCACACTTTCCCACTTTAGAAAACTTGGAAGGATGTATTAGTACAGAAGAAACTTCATTTGAATTGTTTGCAGCATACCAGCACCCTTTGGTTTTATGTGTAGTAAAGAAAACAATAGGGGTTGCCAATGTGGAAATTTTATAATCTGTTAGAAATCTGTCAATTTGTTACTGCCAACATAGGATGCCAGAGCAGTAGCCTTTGCTACTAGCATTTTTCAGGAACTATGTGCCAATGTGCTGGAGAAGAAATATTCTGAGGAAATTAATGACACAAAAATCAATAGTGTGGGCACAAGCGGAACACACCGATCTTTCTCTTGGTCAGACTTTAATTTATAGTCTGGTTTTCACACTGGGAACTCTTTCAGTTAAGGAAAACATTGAACCTGTTCTCACAAGGGTCTCTCTATTAGCACATGACTTTTGAGTTGGGGCATCAACTCTTACAGGCATATTATTTTGGTAAAACAA